ATCTATCATTATCTATCTTCTATCATCTGTCTCCATATCTATCTATCTATCTATCTATCTATCTATCTATCTATCTATCTATCTACCATCTATCAATCTATCATTATCTTCTATCATATCTATCTATCTCTATCTATCATCTATCAATCTATCATCTATCATTATCTTCTATCATCTGTCTCCATATCTATCTATCTATCTATCTATCATCTATCAATCTATTATCATTATCTATCTTCTATCATCTGTCTCTATCTATATCTATCTATCTATCTATCTATCTATCTATCTATCTATCTATCTATCTATCTATCATCTTTCATTATCTACCTTCTATCATCTGTCTCCATATCTGTCTGTCTGTCTGTCTGTCTATCTATCTTCTCTCTCTCTCTCTCTCTCTCTCTCTCACTAATCTCTTATCTACATGTCTCTCTCTCCATCCTCTTATATCTATCTGTCATCTACCTACCTACCTAAAATTATATTGTCTCTTACTTGCTCACAGCCACTCTAGGTGGCTTACAGAAAAGAAAAACACAATGTTGAAGAAATAAAAATAATAAAAAAACAATAACCCCCCTCTAGCGACAACACATACTCAAATATGCCATTTAAAGGGCTCCATCCCACTCTGGGTTCCCCAGGCCACCTGATAGAACCACATCCCCAGGGCTTTCTGAAAGAGCGTTAGAATGGGGGAGGGGAGTTTAATCTTGGGGGAGGGGTGATGTTCCAGAGAGAGAGGGAGAAGGCCCTTTTGTGGGGTCCCACCAGATAGATCTCCTTAGGAACGGTACCTGCAACATTTCTTGCTTCCTACTCTAGTGGGTTGGGTGGATGTGACCAGCAAGAGATGGCCCCTCAGATAACCTGGTCCCAAGTCAGGAAGGTCTTTAAAGGGGACAATCAGCACCTTGAATTACTGGTGGGCAAACCCCAAGGCATGAGAAAAAGAACCTAAAGGGTGGGTTAGGACCACACAGTCTGAATCTGCTCATCCACCCACCCATCTAAACATCCATCCATCCAACCCATCCATTCAACTGTCTAACCTTCCAAACATCCATCCAGCCTTCCATCCATTCATCAATGCTTCCAAGCATCCATCTATCCATCTACCCTTCCAAACCTCCATCCAACTATCCATCCATCCATCCAAGCATCCATCCATCCATCCATCCATCTACCCTTCCAAACATCCATCCAGCCTTTCATCCATCCATCCATTCATCAATGCTTCCAAGCATCCATCTATCCATCTACCCTTCCAAACCTCCATCCAAGCATCCATCCATCCATCCATCTACCCTTCCAAACATCCATCCACCCTTCCATCCATCCATCCATCCATCTACCCTTCCAAACATCCATCCACCCTTCCATCCATCCATCCATCCATCCATCCATCCATCCATGCTTCCAAGCATCCATCCATCCATCCATCCATCCATCCATCCATCCATCCATCAATGCTTCCAAGCATCCATCCATCCATCTACCCTTCCAAACATCCATCCATCCATCAATGCTTCCAAGCATCCATCCACCCATCCAAGTATCCATCTATCCATCCACCCATCCATCCAAGCATCCATCCATCCATCTACACTTCCAAACATCCATCCACCCCTCCTTCCTTCCATCTATCCATCCACCCATCCTTGGACAAATACTCACGTTGATGGAATTTCTCTTTTTTCCTGCTGTTTTTCTGTTTTTTTTTCCTCTTCCTCAATAATCTCTCCCCCTCCCCCCACCCTTTAAAACAACCCCTCTCCTGGCCAAATGAACAGCTAAAGGACCACTGTCCTCTTGGAAAGTCTAACTGCAGATTCCATGCCTTCGCTTGTTCTTAAACACGTCCCGTACATTTTGAATTCGCTGTTGACACCAGGAGTGGGAATTCTACATCTGATAAAAAAATCGGGACCTGCCCCTGAACCAATTTATTAGCAAAACTTCCTTTGCCTACGAAAGAGCGAGGGTGGGACTTCTTCTTTTTAAATACAAAATATATAATATACGCATCGTAAAATTCATCCATTACCATGCCAGCTTCGATTCAGGGAACAGGAGAAGAATTGAGCAGTGAAGATTATTTACAAAGATTCCACTGCAACGATCAAAACTTGCAGAAACAATTTTTTTAAATTCAGTTTTTCTTTTTTCCGCAACAGCAAAAGCATCTGGTTAACACAGTGTGCCTTGTGCAGGAAGCCTAGCGGACGGCATGATGTTCACAATTGTGCGCCCAAATGTTGCTCTGACAGCAAGCTCCTTCTTCAAAAATGACAACTTCCCAACCAAATGCGAGATTTTTTTCCTCCCCCCCCCCCGCCCTCTATTATTACTGTAATTAAAAATTACACTCGTAATACGGAACCTGGCAATCGGAGGGATTTGCTTCAGGAAAAGCAGATGGTTGTGGCAAGGTTGTTTTGAGATGATTTGTCATAAGAATTATTTCTGTCTGCGTTTGTGGGTTGGTTTTTTTTTTGGTTTTTTTTTTGCTGCTTCTGTTCTGTTTAATACAATTAAACCTGCTCAGAAATGCTGCTTGTGGTGTTGTGCAATGTGGCACATGGTTTACTCCAGAAAGAGGGATGAAAGAATGAAGGGCTATAAACAGGCTTAAAAGTTCCCGATGGCTCAAGAGGCTTGCAGTAACTTTAATTTGTCCTTTATTGATAGATTTTTTTCCTGCTCTCTATCTATCTTTTCTCTCATTCTCTCTCTCTTTTTTCCTTCTCTCTTTTCTCTC